CCGTCCTGGACTAACATGTCGGTAGACGGGCCCGTCTTGGACCAACATGTCAGTAGACGCGCCCGTCCTGGACCAACATGTCGGTAGACGGGCCCGTCCTGGACCAACATGTCGGTAGACCAACATGTCGGTAGACGGGTCCGTCCTGGACTAACATGTCGGTAGACCAACATGTCGGTAGACGGGTCCGTCCTGGACCAACATGTCGGTAGACGGGCCTGTCCTGGACCAGCACGCTGGTAGACGGGTGCGTCCTGGACCAAAATACTGGCAGACGGGTCCGTCCTTAGCCAACATGTCGGTAGACAGGTCTATCAAGGCCAAACATGCCAGTATTTGTGATGACACCAAATTAAATATTTAGGCTTGATGTCCCCATGTTTGTGGCACTGAGACAGCACATGTGGAAAGTCCCAGAGGGAGCATGATGTGTGTAAGCTCTGACAGTGGAAAGCTTCCCGTTTGGGTGAGTGAGGCCTTACACAGAGAAATGTGAGCGACTTTTTATCATCATGGTAACAGTTATCTGATGTTTGCCTTCAAGCCACCCCGTACCCCTCCATACACACCATAAGGCAAAGTTAATAAATGTGGTTCTGAAAGTTTAACACCCCATGCGACCATGATGAATGATTGGAAGATGTTTTGCCCCTTTAATGTGACATAAAACCTTTATAATCCAACAGAAAAACTAAAATAATTCAGTGCCAGCTGCACATGACCAGATTCCAGCTCATCTTTGGAGTCTTTCCAGCAGCCAATATACAATTATTTATCTGAATGTAAAGTTAGTACTAAGAATAAAGATGATTAAAATAGGTAAAAGGTAGTTTCTTGTATTACTCTCCTTTTCTAACATTTCTCCTCAACATGATGTCTTACTTTTCCTGTTGAATGTTACAGGGTACTTGTCACATTAATGGTGGGGTAAAAAAAATTACAAAGATTTTCTATAATGGCAATAATTTAACCCCCACAGCACCTGTTTTTTTAACGTAGCAGCTGCATATGCTCTGAGATCCATTAGCTTGTTTAACACTGGATTTTGGTGATTTCTACGCCCAGTTTAATACCCAGCAACGCACCTGTCCAGCAGAGTTTTCATTCCTAGCAGGTTGCCTTTTGGGTTAGGGTGGCTCTTAAATGGGGGTTGTGTTTGTCCTGAGTAGAGCTGAAGCGGTTTTGTCCTCCTTACTCATATATTACCATCTGAGTCCAGCGTGTCAAGCAGGTGGAGACTCTGGTCCAGCTGCAGCCAACAGCTGCCCAGACGGACGCAGGAACACCACCATAACTGTGATGTTATCGCTGGACCCTTCCGCCTTGGCGTGACATACCAACCTCTGTGCGACCCTGTGTCCCACATCAGCTTCAGCACATTCTGCTGAAAGATCTTCTGCCCATTCAGGGTCACCCGTCCCCCGGAGCGCATCCATAACCAGATCTGGGACCTCGGAGGGTTTAACGGTATCGAAGAAACCGTCACACGCCAGGAGCACGTAGTCCTCGTCCCCTAGCAGCTGAACGGTGGAAGAATCAGCGTCCCCCGACACATATGGTTTCTGGTCAAAATCACCTGGAGGATAATTGTGATGGTTAGTGTGGACAGGGAGGACTCTTTGATTTTGACATCTGATTTTGTTTAAGCTGTTTTTTCTGAGGTCTTTTAAAGCTCAGCAGTGCCACCTGCTGGTTGGATTATGGCTACATTCTATTTCTATGCAAACATGGAGAACATCTACACCCTTCTGCTCATTAATCATCATGAAGCCTTCAGTTCTGTTCGCCCCCTTTCAGCTCAGCTTTAGCTTGTCAAACACAGAAAATAGAGTTGTTTTAGTCTCCACTGCTAAAGATCCAAACTGTTCAAGAGCACCTGATGAGGAGGAAGAGGAGAGCCCACCTGCCCCCACCCATCCTCACCACCTTCTACAGAAGCACCATAGAGAGCGTTCTGACTAGCTGCCTCACTGTGTGGTGTGGAGGCTGCAGCGCCTCAGACTGGAAGAAGGTAAGAACAGCAGAGAGGATCGTGGGGGCTCCTCTTCCCTCCATTAAATACATTTCATCCAAGCTCTGCGTGTCCTGAGCCCGTGACATCATCAATGACCCTTCACCCCCCCACCATGGACTGTTCTCCCTGCAGCCTTCTGGGAAGAGGCTTCACAGCATGTTGAATGCTGTTGAATGAATGTTGAATAAAACAGAAGAAAAGCTGCATTTGGAAAAACTGTAAATCTTTTTTTTTTTTCGTTGTTTACATTTTATTACTGCTGCACTTTAAGACATGAAATTTACCTGAGAGCTGCACAGAACAAAATTTTGTTTTGTGTACAAAATGACAATAAAGTCTATCTGAGTCTGAGTCTAAATCAGTGATGTCAAAAGTACGTATAGATACTGCAGTTTAAAAACACACTAGTAAAAGTTGAAGTATCAACTTGACCTCTTTACTTAAGTAAA